GCAGTTTTAGCAGCTGATAAAATGTATAGACTCTTTCTTTTAGGAACTTTTCCCAAAAAAATTAATGTCTTTTAAAATGATTTCTCAGCTGCTACAAAACTAAAAAAGGACATATTATATTGAAAATTCAGATTTGGTGCCTAATACAAATTTCTATACACAGCTCTGTATTCACAAATTTAGTATAGAGTTTCTTATTTTGAGCTTGTCACTCCTCTTACAGCAGAAGGCATCTGCAAATATGTGTCTTGAAAAAAAGAGGGTCTACTTCATTTAATCTCCAAAGTGAAGCTTGTTAAATCATGATTAAATACAATTTATTGTAGGCCAATGATTGCCTAGTTGCTTGTAAAATATATGAGTTCCTTCATACAATAAGACAGAGGACCACACTGCCATTTGTTCCATTTCTGGAATATTTAAGTAGATTTGGACAGTTGCTGCCAGTCAATGTCAATAATAATGAGCTAAATGGACTACTAGTTTGATTTAGCAGGGTTGGACTAAAAGACTCACCAATAGCCACTCAGTCACCTTTTATGCAAAAGGGAGAACTAAAATTCATAGTCTTTTGGTTTGCTCCTGATTGAGTCTTTGACTAATATGGAGGAAAAATGCAGCTAATATATGAAAAAGTACCAATCTAGATTTAGAGGGAAGCTGTGAATTAGCTATAATCACAAAAATCTTTTAAAAAATATACCTAGCCTCATTATTAGAGACAGCCAAGTTCCTATAACATCAGGATAATTTCATTTGCCGTCCTTAAACTTACTTTTTTTAAAAAAAAATGTTGAATTATTTCCACTAAATAGTCTTATAAAGTTTCTGAAAAAAATGCCCGATGAAACTAGTATAATGAAACTGAGCAAGTATATTGTTTTATGAGATGGGGACTAAGTTATTTCTATTCATGGAAAACTTAGTTTCCAATATCCCCCTCCTTTATTACTTTAGTTCTAGTTTTAAAAATATCAAGAAAGCTAGGTGAAAAGATAAAACAATGTCATACAAGCACAGAACTAAAATTTCAACCAAGAAATATG